TGCTATAACGGTTTGAAAACACTAGTGGCCTACAGTCAACTGGCACTAATTAATGATCGTGAGAACTATGTAGACGCGACGTTTCGGTCGCCTCTGTCGCTTACGTCACGAGTGTGATGTCATAATTGGTCGAGGTACTAAATCGAAGGCTCAGTTCGTTTCTTCTCGTTACACTCCAAGAAATGAGGGGACTATCTGTATACGGTCAAAATCGGGCCTACCTGATTTTGCTGTTTGATCGAGACAAGGGAGTTGCATTGGGGGTAGCCTCGTAATTAGGGGTGTTCAAAACCGAACCGAAACCGAAAACCGAAACTTAATGGCTTATTGGTATCGGGTTAACGGTTTAACGGACGGGGAACGAATTGAAATTTTTTTATTAACGGCTTATCGATTTGGTGCGGATTATTCAATTTTCTTAACGGATAATCCGTTAACCCGTTAAGAATTGAACTCGTTTACTGCTGCTCTCTAAACTTTAGAAGAAAGATTCAATTATTTATTACCAGCGTGGGAGGTTTCATAATAAATAATAGTAATACACAAGTAAATAAAAAAGAAATATAAGCACGAACCAACAACGGCTTAATAATTTGAATGTTTTGCAGGATGAAAACCAGCTTCTTGTTAGCATTGCTAGCAATGTTGACTACTATTATGGCTCAAAAAGAACTGATTGTCAATATCACCATAGTTCACAATGCCACTGCACAATACATTAAGCAACAGAGAGTAAAGAGAATCACATGCGGACTTTTATGAGTACTAAGTATTTATTTGTTTATGAGACATCAAACAGTGTGCCTCGATGGAAGCTCGCCAGCATATCATCTTGATAGAGGACATGGTAGCGGACTTCGCAGCTGGATTATCGAATTGGTTAAGTTCAATCTTAACCAAGTTGTGTTTTTATTTTTTAACAGTTTGCCATCTTCTTAAACAATAAGAAATTTGTTCAAATGATATTGTTAATGTATTCTGTTGTGTACTTCTCAATCCCTTACCATCCACTTGAATGTAGTATGAGAAGATAAAAGAAGTATTTGATATCCAGTATTTGACTCTAGTAATATGGCCTCATGGTGTAATTTAGTTAATATATATGTATGAGAAATGTTGACTTTATTGTTGTCTCGGGGATGTACTCCCCAACACTGTTTTGAAGTATGTTAAGTTTCAATCAACTGAAACTAAACCGATAACCGCCCGATAATAGCTAAACCGATATCAATCCGCCCGATATCTTATCGGGTGGCTAGCGAATTAATACATTGAAAAACCGATAACCGATAAGCCAAACCGTTAAGTGTAAATAACCGTCCAATCCGCCCGATAAGCAGCCCTACTCGTAATAAATCAGACCCGAGCTCGAGGATGAGACATCGAGCCTAAAGATCGAAGTGTACGTTGAGACCGAGGCCAGCAACAATCGAGACCAAGTATGACCGACTTCGAGGGGAGAATAATAACAGAATGGCAAGATATCCGTAACCGGTCGAAGATCACGACGGAAATCCCGGAACAGATCAAATCAAGAGCGGTTATTAGTACCAATCATGAGATTTATTTCCGTAATTAGAATTGTACCATAATTAGGAATCCTCTAGTATATAAAGGGGAGTCCCCATCATTTGTAAGCATCTTACATTCATGAATATCAAGGCAATATAATATCTCTTGTATCGGTTCATCAACTTACATTTCTTTAAATTGTTCTTACTTCATTATTCTCGAGGGTTCATCAGCTTGAGGGCATTGTCCAAGCATTGGTTTGTTTTACACTCTTGTCAATTCGCATCGTTTATCTCTAAATTAATCAATCAGTATTGAGCAAAAATCATGCGTATCCTTAAAACCACATTACAAGTTTAATTGTTACTCGGATTTTAAGGTAAAACACGTGCCATAATTAAATTCGAACACTTAAAAGATTTATGGGTCAGATGGATTCGCAGCTTTTACAACTAACACATTCCTTTATTTATGGAGCTCATACGAGTAGCACCTTGGCGAAAAAAAATTATAATCTAAGTTTCGAGCATAAAAGATTTCTTGCTAAAATAGACGCCTACAATTTCACTTACTGGTAGGGGTGTACATGGACCGAGTTGATTCGATTTTTATCAAAATCAAACCAAACCAACTATATCGATTTGGATTGGTTCGGTTTTATTGGGATTTTCGGATTTTTTGGATTTTTTATTACTTAAATATTATTTCAATCTTACTTTGTTAAATTTAGTAAAAATTTAAAAAATTGACAAACATATTATCTATTAAAATATTTTTATGGGAGAATTTTCTTAGTAACACATGATAACTATTTTTTTAGTCCATCGATGTATACTTTCAAGGTTAACCGAATTTAGTAATTAAACATAAAAATCAATATGATACCGAAATAATAATAATAATAATAATAATAATAATAATAATAATAATAATAATAATAATAATAATAATCACTTCACATTCGAAAAAAATATAAAAATTTAATAGATCTTAACATATGATATGAATATGGAAGAACAAATAGATGTGGCATTTCAGTAACACTTGATAAGAAAGTGATGGAACTTTCTTGGTATTTGAGGTTAAATCTTTTTTTAATAGTTTTCATCAAATCTAACAAACATAAATAATTAACTATTTAATAAAACAAACTTAAAGAACCAAAACTCCTCAGTAACATACTTAAGGGATTACTATGAACCTATCCTAAAAATTAAGAGATCATTTTCGTCATTTTCTCAGTCAAATTACGATGCTAGTGTTATTTGGGTCTTGTTTATCTCCTAAGTCAAAAAATGCCTTACAACAAAAATAATAACACCCCAAACCTATGTTACTTAAATAATGCCTTAGATTATTTAAATAAAATTAATAAGGGTAAAAATCATTTACATCCCCCAAGTTTACTCTAAAAATCAAACACATTCTCCAACTTTGAACAATTGTCATTTTCATCTTTTTATCCTATGCAATGTCTATTTTAGCCTTAACATTTTTAACTTTATATGTAATACCTTTTTTATATTATTTAGATATTTTTTAATGCAGGTATTTGTTCATAAGTTAAAAATATTATATCTTATTATATAATTTAATTTAAGTTCACTAATATTATAAATAAAATAATTATATTATGAATTTATTACAAAACGTATTGCTACTTCTTATTATTATTATTATTATTATTATTATTATTATTATTATTATTATTATTATTATTATTATTATTATTATTATTATTATTATTATTTTAATATTATGTATATTAAAATGCATATAATGTATGTCGGTGTGTATGTGATTTTAAGTTTCACTATTTTTATTATTCTTATGTGTATATAAATTTTTGAGTTTTGATTGTTATTACTAGATTATTTCTAAATTATAATTAAAGTTCATGTAAAGTGTAAATAGATAATTTTTGCAAATTCATTATAAATTACCTATATTTTACGCCCACTATTTTTTTTTATTATATGTATTGTATAATTTATAAAAAAAAAATTACTCTCTTTTATGCTCAATTTTGTAAATAGATTGAGTTTCGATTGTTGTTAATAAAATTATACGAGTAAATTATTTATTGTAATTTTTTTATTTTTCTCATTTATTTCACTATTGAATATCATTAACTTATATGCTTGACTACTACTTCTCACCTTTTTCAGTTTCAAAAAAGTTTTTTAATTTGTCTATAGGTAAGTCGATAACATAAATTAAAATAAAAAAATATCATTATATTAAGAATAAAAATAAGAAATAAATATTGTAGAGGGTAAAATAGGTATTTTAAGAAGTCACCTCTGATATGAGAAGTAAAATAATAATTATTCAAAGTTAGATGATGAATTTGATTTTTAAAGCAAATTTGAGGGGATTTAAATGATTTTCACCCAATTAACAACGTACTCAATCAGTTGCTGGACTTGCATTTTATTTCTCGATAAAAGTAAAGTGATACATGGAATGGGCTGAACTCAAAAGGGGAGAAATTAAAAAATAGTCAAATTTACAAGTGGTAATTGAAAAATAGCCACAGTTTCAAAAGTAATCGAAATTTAGCCAATTTTTATGTAAAGATAAATCTGAACGAAAACACTGTTCAAAATCCAAAAAATATTCCAGTATAATATACCGGTCCAGCATAATATGCTAGAAGTTCATACACAGGTGCTCCAATCTCCAGTATATTATGCTGGAACTTTCCGCGTGTTGGAGTTCCAGCATAATATGCTGGAAGTTCATACACAGGTGAACCAATCTCCAGTATATTATGCTGGACCAGTCCGTGTTGCAGCAAAATAGNCAGTATATTATGCTGGAACTTTCCGCGTGTTGGAGTTCCAGCATAATATGCTGGAAGTTCATACACAGGTGAACCAATCTCCAGTATATTATGTTGGACCGGTCCGTGTTGCAGCAAAATAGTGACTATTTTTTAATGACTTTACAAATGGTGGCTAATTTTGAATTACCAGTCCGAAAACTGGCTAGCCCGTGCTATTTTTACACTCAAAAGGGGATATTCGGGCCAAGAAAAAAATACAGGTTTTTGCAATCGGATCAAAAGACGCTTCGTGATGTGTCAATCTCTTTAATATGTACAATCAGCGCACTTCTTGATTTTGCTTAAGAATTTTAAATTCTACATGTCAAACAATTCAGAAAGTTAAGAAAAATAAAAGTTTGGCTATCAAATGAATTCAATTGCTCGTTTGCTTTTAGCAGTACATATTTTCAAATAACTATGATTGTTAAAATTAATCCCATAGTGAAGTTAAATAGATGTGTCTTATCGGCTTTCATCTATGCCTAAATAAATACAAAATGCTAACTATTCGTGTTCTAAATGTTGGAAGAGCATTCTTTTCAGGCGATGCAATGTGTGACGCCTAAACAGACGTGCCCTTGACCTGATAATTTCAGATACAACTTGCGTTCAAAGACTCATCAAATATTTCCTGCCTTTGTTATTGCTAGATAAATTTCAATTGTCTTATAGAGAGAAAATGCAGTAAAATATAAAGGCATAATGCTCAAGACTATAAGATAATTAGCAAATTTCATTTCATGAATCTCTTTGGGGTGTTGATTTCATCTTCACAGCTTATATTGGAAAACAAATCTTTGCATAGCTCACCATAAAATCTGCACACCAAGTCAATAAAGACAGGGCTTTTCAGATTCTTCCAACAGTATAGCAATTCTTCCACATCCATTAAATCACTCATTTTCCCCTCTTCAGCAATCATTTCAACCAGATAATTCTCAAAACTTCTGCATGCATCTTCCACATCATTTTGAATGAGTAGTTCTTCTCTTTTAGTAGCTCCACTCAATCTCACATAAGCTGGAGTTATTGGTGAGGGCATTGGTGCTTTTATATGTCCTGCACGGCAAAAATTCAACACCTTTTTAGTAGGCGCTTGGAATTTGGAAAAAAACTAGTATTCGTAGTTAAGTTGAAAAATGGTATTTGAAATTTGAAATTATGTTTGGACATGTATTTCACTCGGAAAAATATTGCACCTTTGTGAGCGGGGAAAAAGAATTCTGAAAATTTTGACCACTTTTTGGTTTTGAAAACTCATTTTTGAAAAAAATTCCAAAAAACTTATACAATTTCATGGACAAACATATTTTTGAAAAAAAAATTGAAAAAAGAAAATTGTTTTATGGACAAATGGGGTCTTAGTAACTCAAATTATTAAGTCAAAACAGGCCAAATTAAAATCAAAGAGGAAACCTAGATTTGAAGCTAATGGATTTGGGATTTTATTCTTTTTAAGATACTGAGTTCTAAATCAATAATTAATACTATATTTTTAATAGATTTCTTTAGACAAATCCAAAGTTTGAACCGAAATTAATGGGTTCGACCCGAACACATAAAAGGCATGCTAGCTCCACCACTGGTCAAAATATATAGTGTAGTGACGGGTTAAATGCAAAACAAACCACAATACAAAATCAAATATGGAGTGTAAATTTAGATGATCTTAAGATAATAACTTAGAAAAAATGCATTAGTTTTCACGTGTTTCAAAACGCAAAATGAAAAAAAGAAAGGGAAGTTGGATTATGTTGAGCGGGTTGACGCAAGAAATTTTTGAACTAGTTGGTTCATGACCCTTTTATTGATTTAACCCGTTTTGATTCGTCAAAATTTTTACTCAATTTGCTCATTTGTCACCTCTACGTACCTGCATCACAGAAATTCTTGAGCTCCATGACTTGGTCCTCCTCTCTTGGTTGTCTTCTTATTGAACGAAACACTGACACAACTTCTGAAGCTTGCTTTCTATTACTTGTGCTTGTATTTCTTTCACATTTTGAAGGTCGAAATCTAAGCCTTCTTATAAAGAGGGGCTTTCTTAGTTTGAACTTGAACAGCTTTAGTATTTTCTTGCATGGATTGAAAGGCTTGAATTTGAAGCAACATGAAACGTTCACTTTCATTTTTTGAATATAAAGCAGAATGGTGATTTTTGGCTATCTTTGCTTTTAGTTTGGAAATGATATGAGAATTGTGAGTGCTCTAAGATCAAATTTGTTGGACTTTGGTGTATTATATTGGGGTGCTCCGTTTTGTTTTTATTTAGGGAGGGGGGGATAATGAGTGGTGGGTTACACGTCTCTCATGTTGAAGGGAAAAAAGGTGCTACACCATGAAAGAAATGTTATCAACTTTTAATACGTAGTTGTTAAGATATGAAAGGAACATAAACATACAAGTTGATTAGGATTAATATATTACGAGATATGATTATCTAGAACTATAGTTGTCAATTGATTGTGTCAATGCAGAGGAAATAAATACGTTTATATACTATCAGTTATGTTCATTATAAAATTTTCCAAATCGATTTTTGGATTTCAATTGGATAGACTGGACCTTTTCTTGGGGCAAGTGCACAAATAGTCATTCTCAGGGATGTCATTTAAAGATTATTCGATACTTATTTTATCCTGAGATTTTAAATTAAAAATATTAATTTTAGGACACTTTTGTCTCGAAAATTTGAAATGAAAAAACTGAAATTCAAGACCCATTGACTAATTCCTAAATAGAAGCCCTTTAGAGTGGCTACCTGGTGTCATTTCTACCCTTTTCTTTCCAATCCAATAAGCCTTTAAAGTTCTTCCTTCATAGCCACATCGAAAAGTGCATAAACAACCATTTTTAGGGCTGCTATTTATGGATTAGCTAATACTTATTTTATCCTGAAAATTTGAACTAAGAATCTTAATTTCATAACAATTAAGGATATTTGTGTCCCGAAAAAAATTGAACCCTCAAATAAAAAACCGAAATTGAGGACACCTTATCTAATTCGTAAATAGCAACCCTTTAAGTGGCTAGCTGGTGTCATTTCTGTAAGGTCTTTTTGCTTGGCCCAACGAATCTTTTTCCTGAACCTAATAGCCTAGACTTTCCATATATTACCTATACTATAGATAGCTTGCAGCCCTTTGCTTCTCTCTCTCTCTCTCGAGAGAGAGAGAGGTGAGAATTGAAGTATAGCATTGTTATTTGCTTTAGGCATCAAAATATGAAGAATAGCATGCTTTTAAACAGGGGTGTCAATGAATATTTAAAAATCAATTAAACCGGTCGAATCGTATCGCACCGAACCGATTTTTAGGTTTCTTTTAATAAAATCGTAGGTTTTTATAAAAATCTATAACCATACCGATAATTCGGGTATGTTTTTACTAAAATAAACCGAAATAATACCGAACCGTACTGAATAAATTTCTATGTTAAAAATACATTTATATATTAATTTTAAAAATAATAAAGCATTAAATTTTTCCTTGGGCCTTAGAATTATGGTTACAAGCCAACAAGTAATTAAACTCTAAATCTTAATTCCCAAATTTATTATGCTACTCCCACTAGCAAGATACAAAGTATTCCAGCGATTATGAATAGCAAACTACAATATATTTAATATGTTTTCTTTCAAATAATTTAGATCTATCTTAATCTTCTATAAACTCTATTCTTTAGTCCCAACTTGGTTAATATCTTTCCACTGGTGTGATTTATATTTTCTTTGTCTTTGCTTAGTTTCTTTTATACTGTTGTACAATAGTTAATGAATCTATACTCTCGCTATCTTTCATGTTTTCTTAATTCATCTTCCTTTAAACTAGGGATGTACAAAGAAACTGACAAACTGCACCAAACCGATAATCCGTGTCAAACCGAAAACAAACTCAACTATGATTTGATTTGATTTGGTTTGATGTTGGAAAATAAAACCCGACCATAATTGATTTAGTTTGGTTTTAACTAAAAAGAGTCAAACCGAAACCAAACCAACCCGATATTACATGTATAGAAGTTTTAAATATATTTAATACATAAAATTTTTTATTATAGTGTCGTTTATAAATATTTCTTAAACTTATTCATAATTTTATCTTTTAACGTATTATTTCAAGCTTGCACTTATAATTTTTGAATGCTCCAATAAGTTTTATCGTCCATAAATGTTAGTAATTCAAACAAATCCCAAATCAAAATCAAATAAATATTAATGCTAACAAAAGACATTCAATTCAATTGCACTAGGAATGACAATAGTATTGGATATCTTTGATTTTTTCATAATTTAGATAAAATGCATAACTTATTTTTTTTAGTGTTTAGTCATGTAAATAATAGTACTTATTAATCGTATTTATTTTAGCAACTTAGTAATTTTAGATTATATTTATTTTTATTATGTCTTATTAATAATATTTATTTTATGAACTTTTAATATCTTTTTTGTTGAATATTTTAGTACAATATCATGGCTCATCTCATATATTTTATGTTATTTTCTTGAAAGACACCTTATATATTTATGTTTTACTAGAATTAAAAAAATATTTGGAGCACAAATTATATGTTTTATGTAATAAAAACTTTATTAAAAAAAAAACCGAAAATCCGAAAAATCCGAGATTAAAAAACCCGAATTTTATTGGTTTGGTCTTTGGATTTAATAACCCGATACAATTGATTTGGTTTGGTAATTAAAAAATCTGAACCAACTCGACAAATGTACACCCCTACTTTAAACAGTAAAAATGTCTAGAGAGTTTTGTTATGTCATGTAAAAGTAAGTTATCGCATTTAACTTCTACCAGTGAATTTTACATGACATTTGAAAAGATACCGAAAAATAATCGAATCGTACCGATACCGAAGAGAAACCGACATAATTGGTACGGTTTCGAAAGGTCTAATTTTGGTTATACATAATTGAATAACCGAAAAATTGATATGATATAAATTTTATAAAAAAATCAGCCGAACCAAACCATTGACACCACTTGTCACGACCCAATTTCACCTATAGGTCGCGATGGCGTCGGACACCGCTGTCAGACAAGCCAACAATAAATACTAAATAAATTCTCATTTTAATATTTTTGAAGTCATAATTGTTCCCCTCAATTAAATAGCAGAAGATGTCATTTACCAAATACGTACTAATATCTTTAAAAATTTCCAATACAGTGCAACCCATAATCATCCCAAAACCCGGTGTCACAAGTGCATGAGCATTTACTAGGGAATTAAAATAAAAGACAACATCTGTCTAGAATACAAATTAGATAGGAAAATATAATAACTCTAAAGGAGACTCTATTAGCTGCGGATCGTAATATAGAATGCAGCTCTCCTATGTCCCCACAATTATTAACCATACCTCTGCGCCCACAAGGCCGTTATACATATATGTACCTGCACAATAAAATGTGCAGCAAGTGCAGTATGAGTACGAAAATAACGTGTACCCAGTAAGTATCAAGCCTAATCTCGAAGAGGTAGAGACGAGATGGCCGACTATGACACTCACTATAGGTCAATAATATTAAATAATCATGAAAATAGAAATATTTATATCAACGTGATTCACAGAGTTAACAATAATTTTATTG